TTTCTCTCTGTCTCTGTTCTTCTCTCTCTCCTCCTGCTATACCACTCACCCCATCTTGATTGCCTTGTGTTTCTTGCCTTTAAATGCAAGTTATGTGAAATCGTGATACCTAAAGATAGGGACACCAAACTGAGCACATGAGGGAAACACTGAGAGAAGGTAAGAGACATCAATCTAATGCTTTGGTGTCACAAGCTATTCTATCAGCTTTGGAGCCCCCACTTCCAGACATATTGCTAAATGTACATGTCTTTCCAGCAACTTTAAGTCATTGGTCTGATTTATCTTACTTTTGGCATTTTCCTCTTCAGAAGCATCCTCATCTTCCACATGAGGATTATTCAAAGTATTTCTGAATGTGCAAATTTCTACTGGGAACTGGGACAGGTTACAGGTTAGTGAATTTCCAGTTTGTAAATATTGAGTGGCTGGGAATCAACTCTCCAAGGGCCCATGTTAGGAAAGCATCATGTGTCTCAGACACAGACACAGACACAAACAAGGTTAGGAAGCACTGCAATTGGTCATCTGTTGGTTTCAATACAATTGGCAATATTTTTGTGTGGGGACTGTGCTTTATTCATTTCTGTATCCACAGGCCTTGAAACATTAATATGCATTCAGGAAATATTTACTAATAGAGATTGGGCTGAGTATAGGAAGCTTTGAGTTCTAGTTCTGGCTTTATTGTTAACACACTCTGTGACCTTGGTCAAGGCATATTATTCTTCTGGGCTTTAATTTACTTCTCCAGGGTGGATTGAGAGTTTTGAATTAAATTTACCCTGTTCTGTGACTACAACCAATGGGCAGTGGAGCTGGAATTAAGAGCCTCAAGCTTAGAGGCAGATGGTCATCTGCTCTGGATAGGTCCACATACTTTATTCTCTAAGCCATGCAGAATATTAGAAGTCACATTGAGCAAAAGATGAATCAATGCATTATAAGACACAAAATGAAAATGTGAGAGCATAATGAATCTTCTTGAGTGTGACTCTTGCTCGAGCGCCTTACAGGATAAACCCCCAAGAAAAAAATGGCAAATTTGGCAAATGAGGAAACTGAGGCATGATTAACTTGCTCAGTGTCCCACAAATAGCAAATAAAAGGCCAAGATTCAACTGCTTGCACAAAGTTGAATCTTGTTTGTGCCCATGTACTCTGCAACCTACGGACTTTGCTGCAATTAATGTTGTATGGCATGTGATTTTTCTCATTTTCTTTGGTTCAGAAGTTGCTGTAATTTTGTTCTTTTATTATGTGTTTTGGCCAAACTCACATGTGTGCTTATATGTGTGTATGTGGTATATATAGTTTATGTGTGCTGGGTACTTGGTAGTTGCATTTGGTGGAGTACTTATAAAAAAAAAAAGGGTGCAAAAGAAAGAAAGAGTCCTTTAACTCTTTTAAAGTATTAATACTTAAAAAAAAACTTGTCTTCATTTTGTTGACAAGAGAATAAATGCAGTGGAAATAACCACAGTTCTTTATGTTTTTATGGGAATAAATGCAGTGGAATTAACCACATTTCTGGTATAGAATGCATATGCCATCTGAGATCAGATTGGAATGACTCCTATTAAGCAGGGAAGATTATGGGAGAGGTAGGAATTGAACCTGGTTAGTGGGACTTGGAGAATATTCTGGAAGAGAAGGTTTTATTTAAGAATACTTCTTAAATAAAAGGATTTAAGAATTATTGAGTAAAGCTATGGACTGTTTTCCCAGAAAAGGCGTTAGGGCCAAGATCCCTGAAGTTCAACCTTGGCTTTTCTACTTTCTGGCTGTGTGACCCTGGATGAAGAAATTAAGCCTCAGTTTTTTCATTTGTCAAATTAAATATCTCCTAGAGCTATTTTGAAAACATTTAATTAATGCATGAAATGTGTTTAGATGAGTGCCTGGTATGTAAGTAAACACTCAGCCAATGTTAACTATTAGTATTTTGGAGAGTTTTGAAGTCTGTGCTTGACTTGATGTCTATCTTTTCATAGTTAAATAGCTATGGAGATTTCTCTCTTAGTCATTGACATTGACTGTAAGTTTAAAAATCAGTTGATATTAAATGGCAGCAGGTATGCAGATAGTGGTGGTGGGTTTGGGAGTGAATCTTTATTTCTGATATTTCAAGATGGTTCATGAATATCTTGCTTAAATCCTAGCCAGGCAATATAGCAGGGAACTCTGTAGATTTTTTCCTCCATGCTAGATCTTTACTGGAAGAATGCAGAAAATTAAACAAAGCTTTTATACCTTCTAGACCAGGAGACTATGGACATACAATACAAGAACTCACCCGAGAAAACTGGGATCAAGGGCAAAATGTGTGGTAGAAGCAGTGAATGCCAAAGACATGTTCTTATTTGTTACCATCTGGACCTCCTAGAAACTGAGCTTATCATCCTAATTCCTGACATTGGCAATCCTTTCTTAAACTCTTCAGTGGTTTCCTCTTTAGACTTATAGGATAGATGCTTATCTCTGAGGAACAGTGTGAAAACCATTTATGATTGGAACTTGCAAACGTCTCTAACTGCATCCCTGTGCTCCCTTCCACCCTCCACTTCCCTGGTGAGAGGCGTGTGGTTTGTCATCATGCTGCTCCAGTTCTCTGTGCTTTTGCTAGTGCTGTTTCCACTGCCTGACTGCTTCTCCCAACCTCTTTGGCTTTTATTCATCTTTCAAGTCTTAGCTAGGTGTCATCTCCTGCAAAAAGCCTTCCTGAGTCCACATTTGGCTTCATCATCCTTTCCTTTATTCCCAGAAAGACTTGTGGGCTTTCCTTCTCAGCACGATCATCTGTTTGTACATCAGGTTTTCTTTGCAGCCTGGGACTCCTTGAGGGTAGGGCAGAAGTACTCATCAAATATCTGTTGACTAGAGGTATTACCAGAGTAGCCCTTTGGAAGTATCCAGCTGAGCCAGTGGTGTGTTTTCCACCACTAGGGCAGAACAGCTCTCCCAGTTGCTTCCATTTCAGCTGTTGCCAGTCCTCTCACTAGTGCCAAGGCTGAAAACCTGGGAGGCATCCTGATTCTTCACTTTCCTTCACAGCCATGCCATAGCCATCAACAGGTCCTGACAACTCCACTTTCAAGTGCATCCTTAATCTGACCACTTTCACCACCTCCGAGTCTAGCCTTGTGGTCCAAGTCATTTCTGATCTCTCAATTTATCTCTCTGCTTCTACTCTTGGCAATTCCCCTCCTCCCCACCACCACACACACACAGAGCCTATTCTGCATGTAGCAAATAGGGTGATCCTTATAACAAAACAAAACAGATGATGGTTCTCTTCTGTTCACCCATCTACCTCCATAGCTTTATGTTACCCTTTGAACACAATTCAAACTCTTGATATCCTGGCCTACAAACTCCATATGCCCATGAAAACCCCTCTGGCCACCTTTTACCTCATGTTCATTGTTGCCATTGCAGCCACACAGACTCATGGTGTTCTCGAATTTCCTGAAACCATCCTGATCTCAAGGCCTTTGCATAGGTTGGAATACTGTTCCTCCACTCTCTACCTGGATCACTCATCAATCAGGGCTCTGAGGCTAAGGGGAACCTTTTCTGACCACTCTCTAAAATAGCACGTGATTTGCTCATCTCAGAGCACTTTCGAAAATAGCACCTGAATTTGATTTCCTTTACCTCGCTTATTGCCAGCAGTAATTACCTTTTTATAAAAAATTTGATGATGTGTGCACTATCTGTTTACCCCAGGTAAGATCCTTGATGGCAGAAACAGAAGTTTCTTCACTGCTATGGCCACACGGTCTCACACTCAGTGAATGACTAGATCAATGGGGGTAATATCTATGATAATCTTACAGTGCTTGAAATTCTCTTTCCTTCACATTCTTATATTTGGATATTATAATGATGAGAAAGAGTGCTGTAGAGTCAATCAGTAGGCTGAGAGCTTATGATTTTTTACTTATTGATGTAGGATTCAAATATATTGTTTTTAAATCTCGAAATAACATTTGTGCAGCCCATTTTTATGTGAGTTCCCCAGGTTACTCAGTTAGGGAAAATTTACCTTCATGGGACTTGTTCTTTCTCCGCATTTCTGGATCATTGGAAATGCTTATGAGGTGGAAAAAAGGCAAAGTCAACGGGTCAATACTTATTGAGTAGTGAATCTGCAGATTTACATAGCAATGTAAAAAGTCCCACTGTGTCTGTGTTCTCGGAGAATATGTACTAACACTATAAAACTCACAGGCAGTAGAGAGAAATCCACAGAGGTGTGAGTGGAAAGAGAGAGAACTACAGTTTGAATCCAGTGGAGATGCAGGTTCTAAATTTAGTGGATAAAGGAAACAGGGCATATGATCAAAATTACCCTTGGAATTTCTAACTGGGACTGTAAATCGTCATAGAATGCGTATTTTTGTTCATATAATCCTTTTACAGTGATTTACTATTAAATATATGTGGTTTTTAAAATAAATAACAAGTGATATAAAAATCAATGTCCTTAAATGCTAGACTTGTGTGCAGTTACTTATATATTACTTTATTGGTAATATAAGTAAAGTAAGTGGTTACTGTGATAGGCGGAGGCAGCAGCAGTCCCTGTTTCCCATCTTACACATCTTCAGAATAGATACTCCCTTGGTAGAATCGGGCTGACACTATCACACTATAAAATTTTCTCTGGTTGAGTCTCTTCCCCTCTGGAACACACATGGATGATTCTTGTTACTTAATGCACACATTAAATAACTGTATACGCCACGAACTGGAGGCCTTGTGTTTTGAGTGAAAAGCTTTGGATTTGAGTTTGTGTTTTCAAACACACTTCTAAGGTAGAAATTGTCAAGAGCTTTCCCAAACTCTCTTTTTAATCCTCCTGAGCTCACCATCTCTGGGACTCTCTTTCAGTTGGACAGCCAGCCATGCAGTTGAGCTTGGCCAATGAAACATGAGTGGAGGGTGTGACTCAAAACCTGCCATGTTCAAGCCTACATACTCTTTCCCTCTTCCAGCTTTGTGCTGATGAACATGGCCACCTTGAAAGGTGTATTGAATATGGCACAGCCAGAAAATGCAAGGAGTCTTCTTCTCTGAAAAAAAAATTGAAAAAGAGCCACTTGCTGCTCACAAACCCTACTTTGGACTGAGGTAAGTAAAAAAAAATTAATGTATCTTTACTCAAAATCACTGAGATATGGGGGTTTATTTGTTATAGAAACAAGCATTGCTTTAACTAATGCACTATTTGTATGACCTTGCACAAGCTACTTAACCTTTCTGTGTCTTAGTCATTGTTCCTCCCACCGTGGGGCCCCTCCCAACATAAACAGCTCATACATTTAAAAGAAGCAATTGAGGAAAGTTCCATGAAGAGACTATATGCAAAGATGTGGGCAGAACTAAGGGAAACTCACAAGGGAGGGTGAAGCATCCCAGGGTTAGTGGCAGCAGAAACCCATTTTCACTCTAAGCCTAGGACTCAGGGCACAGGGAGGAGGCATTTACTGAAGCCTGGGGAGATGCTAGAGCTGCAAGAAAGAGCTTTCTGAAGGGAGCTGCAACTTTCAAAGGAAGGTTGCAGTCAATTTAAGCTCTGACAGGAAGGAATTTAAAGTAATAAAAAGTCAGATGCCATTCTTCTACCTTCCAATCTTCCTGCTGATAGATCTCATTGACTAAACCCAACTAGAAGCCAGAAGGCAAGGAGCTCATTTATGTAGTTTATACAAGTCATCTTCCTAGGGTGTGGGCCAGGCACAGAAGGGTAGAGAAATGACAAACAAGGGACAAACAAGGAATTTCAAGCACAGTTTTTTAACCCACAAATTGCAGTTCTTAGCTTCTACTTTATGGAGGCTGCTTGGAGCTATGGGCCTCGATATACAAAACACCTAATAAGGAAACCAGAAGACAATGAGTTCCGAATAAAATACAGCTTTTAATATTCCTCTTGCCATCTGCTATGAAACCACTGTTCATTGATTTTTTTTTAACTTTTTTCTACTGATTATTTTTTGTGTTTGTGTGTTGGTTTGTTTTAATCTCCCAGCTAACTGTTAATGCCAGGAGTTAAATTCCAGAATGAATTTAACACTGGTGCTTCCTGGAGACTGGCATCTTTATTTCTCCGTGATTTGTGTTTGTCCATAGGTGGGGCTTGAGAAAATATCTAGTTTCAGAGTCTTTGGAGGATTCTTCCTTCTTAGCTTCAGTCACTCATTGTTATTTTCAGGGTCATGTTGCCAGGAACTTCTCCCTGCTGCAGACAAGAGCCATGTCTAAACCTCTCTGCTTCTGCCTGTCTGAATTTCGCTACTTCATATTTTATGCCTGCTTTGGGGTTATAGGATAGCATTACCTTATCATGAATGGGAGGAGTGGGTCTTTCCCAGTAAGTGATGAGAGATTGGCATCCTTGTGAGGCAGGCTTGGTGTAATAAAGAGGATCCAGGGTTCTAATCCCTCCTCTGCCTTTTACTTAGAGTGTGACCTTGAGAAATTCCTTCTCTTTCTTTGAGACTTAGATTCCTCATCTATAACATGGAAGGCTCACTGTGCCTGTCTTCCTGGGTAGATGTAGGGAGACAATAAAATACATATGCATAGAAGTCCAGGCATTTCCCTTGACACATGGCAGACATTCAGAAATTCTTATAGAAAAATAAAAAAATTCTAAGGTCCAATGGAGATCCTGACATTTTGATTATACTAGAGCGAAAAATGAAGCTGATAAGGTGCCCTAGGTCCAAAAAAGTTCAGTCCTCCTAGGCAATAAAGTGTCCTTCTTATTCTAATTGATGCCCTTTTCATTTTAAGTGTGACTGAAACATTTTTCTAGGGTAAATTGAGTTCACAGATGTCAAGTCTATTCCCTGTGATTCCTCAGTAGTAAGACGGGAGGAGAAAAAAAAAATCACATAGAAACATACCTTTTGCATAGAGCAATGTAAAAAACACACATCCAAAGATGCAAATGCCAAGAACAGAAGAGCCTCAATTTCTGGGAATCCTTTGGCTGGATTCTGTTACTTTTTCTATTTTTCCATGTGCGACATACGGCACCCTCCTTTTTCTGAGTATTTCTGGAATAACTTGTCATTTGGGGAGTCTGGAATCCAGAATTACTTGGGTTAGAGCAGAACAGTCTCAAGTCTAAACTCCAGCCCTCCCTTTGACTTTGGGGAGTTACTTGACAAATCTTTTGCACCTATGAAATAAACATCATAATGTCACTTATCTCAGAGTTTGCTTAAAGATTAGAAAAATAATGTAAAGTCCTTAATAGACGTGCTTAAGAAAGTTCATTAGTGGTATCAATTATTGTTGGAAAGGCACAATTATCACATTATTTTTGATCTAGGAAAAAGTCTAAGGCAATGTAATCCATTGCTTTCACTTCATGTCTAAAGAAACTGAGGCGTAGGACGGGGAGTTAGGACTAATCAAAGGCCACCCTATTAGTTTGTAGAACCCAGGTTTCTTGATCTCCACTGGGATTTCCTAGCTGTAGAAACACCGTTTTATATAAAAGTGTCACCAAGGAGCAAATAGCAGAAAGCCAAGTCATGAATAAATTTATGACAGTCTTCTAACTTAGATGCCATCTGCAGAAAACTAGAAATTTGGGCAAGTCTCCTGACTACCACTGGTATGCCTAATCATTAATCCCTGTTGGGTTTCTGAATGCCCTGGAGATTTTGTTGTCATTCGATACATCAATCGGAAAATGAGTCTCAGTTTTTGGCGATGCAGTTTCATAGAAAATTTGGAAAGATGTGATTATTACCCTCTATTTCATGTCCTTCCAAGGAGCTGGCTCAGGGTAAATAGGTGCACATCTTTGAATCAAGAGTCATGGATAGGTGTATTATTACTGAGCGGACTTAAGTTCCTAATGTTCACTATGAATAATGCGTCTAATGTGAAATCTTGATGCATTTAAGGTAGGTATGAGGTTCTTTAAAAAATGAATTATCCAGGGCCAGGCGTGGTGGTTCATACCTATAATTCCAATACTTTTGGAGGTCAAGGCAGGCAGATCACCTGAGGTCAATGGTTCGAGACCAGCCTGACCAACATGGTGAAAACCCATCTCTACTAAAGATACAAAAATTAGCCAGGTGTGGTGGTAGGCACCTGTAATCCCAGCTACTCAGGAGGCTGAGGCAGGAGAATTACTTGAACCTGGGAGGCAGAGGTTGCAGTGAGTCAAGATCACGCCACTGTACTCCAGCCTGAGCTACAAAGCAAGACACCACCTCAAAAAAAGAAAAAAAAATTATCCAGGCCAGGTGCAGTGGCTCATGTCTGTAAACCCAGTACTTTGGGAGGCCCAGACAGGAGGATCACTTGAGCTCAGAAGTTTGAGACCAGCCTAGGCAATATGGCAAAACCTCATCTCTACCAAAAATACAAAAATTAGCCAGTCTTATAACCTGGTCTCAAAATAAATAAGTAAATAAATAAAATTTTAAAAAATTAAATTAATGAATTATCTGTATCATGGAGAATGATTAATGCTCACATTTTTGTGGAATATGCAAGGGAATGGTGAGGGACTGCGACTGTGCCTTTAGTGGTCAAAACAGGTTCTGTACCAGGACAAATAGGATGTCTTGAAGAAAAACTGCAGCTACCATCAAGTAGAACTCTAGGAGAAGGTAAAAAGGAGGAAAAAAACCCAAGTATTTATTGAATACCTACTATGTGCCACACATTTTACCACAGTTTAAAAATTATCACTCAATTATGTTACTTTTCATTGAAAGCTCTTTGACTGTATGGCTCTGTGTGTCATATTCTCACTAGTAATGAACACAGTGCCTGAAGCATCATTAAATGTTTGTTTAATAAATGTGTTAGGAACTCTTCAAAAGTAATCTCTTTAACTCATAGTCACCTGTGCATTGGCAATTATTATCTTCACTTTGTAGATAAGAACACCAAGATTTGGAAATGTTGAATAATGTGTCCACTGTGTCAGTGGCCAATCTGAAATTCCAGTGTAGGCACCATGATTCCTGGATGGATATTAATATCTAGGGATATTACATACCATGCTGTTAGACTCTTCATGGGAGTCATCTACTTGTGTTCTGTGCTATGGAATGGTGTGTCCTTCTCTTTGATTCTTAATTCCTGCAGATTGTGGGGAAATGGTTCTACCATTGACAACCAAAGGCAAAAGGGGTGCAACCAAAGAAGCTCCCTGACCTAATTCTTTATAGTTAGTGGCAAGTGTGGTGTGGTGAGGGGAAATTGCACTCTATGAAGATTTAATAGTACAAATTCCACCCTCCTGACAACCCCTTTCTTCAGCACTGGATGGGTGTATTAGTTGTTTATCATTGTGTAATAGATCACCTCAAAACTTAATAGCTTAAAAACAACACATTAGCTCACAGTTTTGTACAACAGCCATTATGGAGTGGCTTAACTGGGTATTCTGGATAAGGGTATTTCATGAGGTTGTGGTCAAGATGAGAGCAGGGGATGTTGTCATCTGGAAGCCTAGCAGGGACTGGAGGATCCACTTTCCAAAATGGCTCACTTACCTGGCTGTTGGCAAAGGCCCCAGTTTCTTGTTGGCTGTTGGTAGGAGGCCTCAGTTGCTCACCATGTGGGCCTTTCCATAAAGCTGCTTGAGTGTCCTCACAACATGTCAGCTGGACTTCCCCAGAGAGAATGATCTAAGAAAGAGAGAGCAGGGAAGAGCCACTGTTCTTTATTACCTAGTCTCTCAAATTGCACACTTTTACTTTTACCATATTTTATTCATTAGAAGTGAGTCACATTCTGTGGGAGGGTAATTAGCCTTCACCATTTGGCAGGAGGAGTATCAAATAATTGGTGGGCATATTGTAAAGCTATCATAATGGTTCTGGTAGGCCATATTTTTGCCTCTGCCACTCAATATTTGATCTCCATTTCTTACAGGTATTGTGAAAAGAGAAGGGGCTTTAGAATAAGACAGGCAAATGTTAAACATTGAGTAAATTTTTAATGTCCTTACCCCTTGTTTCTCAAGCATAAAATGAGAATGATTATATCAAATCTTCACAGTTTTGCAGGATGGGTTGC